CGCAAAGCAGCAGTGTGTCACTTTGATCTCTATTGTTCTCAACCGCTGCAGAAACTTCGAGCCAGCAATGGGACTTTCCGCATCCCTTCTGGAGGCACTGCCACTTGTGCCCGCAAGGAATTCACTCAAATCTTCCATGAGCAGCAGGACATGTCAGGGTCATGGGAGCTACTTCGAAGTACGGCCCGTGTTACTGCTACATGGCACCAGGTGTCCAGCAGTGTCAAGCTCCTGGCTTTCAACTTTTACGCCATCGCCAATGCGGCTTCAGAGAGGGCTAAGTTTGAGAGAAACAATGAGATGCTCAACCAACTCTTTGCCGTTGCGGCGCAGTTCGGAGATATCCCGATAGTGATAGCAGGAGACTTTCAGATGGAGCCCGGCATGTACCCAGCTGTCCAACTTGCTCTCGACAATTGGGGGTGGGCCGATCCTCTGCTCCAAACTGATGATGCAGGTGAGCTTTTTCGACCCGCGACCTTCTTCCAATCTGCTGCTACCGAAGAGGGTGAGGGGCAATCATCCATTGATGGTATATTAATGAATCGGACAGCGCTGACTGCGTTGGTGAGGATCGAAATTCTGGATTACCCCGACCGTCAGCATCGGCCGGTTCAGGCGCACTTTGCTTGGACGAGAATTCAACAGGTTGGAACTGTGCTTCAAAACTTTGCCAAGTTTGACTTGGAGCAAGTGGTTACCACCAATACTGCTGATCCCGCTTGCCCTGTGAACCTGATGGGGGAAGAACTTTGGCGGTCATATCAACCGGAATTTGAGTGTGCTACCAATGCAGACAGCAAATGGGAGATCTACAATGAGTATGCGATCAAACTCCTCCTGCTCAATGGTGCTAACTGGGCTAAAGGGCCTCGCCAACGAGGGAAGCTTCCCAAGTTCCGAAAGCTCAGCTATTGTGTTGCGCAAGAAGGTGCGGGTAACCCAGCTTCACCTCTCCTTCTTCTTCTCCAAGCTTGCCTGAGATCTCTTAGAGAACTGACCTACAGGTTTGCAAGAACGACCATGGGCATTGGTGATTCTCGGACCTTCTACAACACGCAGCGCCGTGTGCTGCGTAGATTGAAAGAGGCACGAATCGTCCCTCCCTCTGTGAACCAGATCTTCCATCACGATTTGCTGCATCTGATTGATGTCACGCTGGGAGCAATCAATACTGAACTCAAGCAGATGAAGTTGGTAGCCATCAAGAAGTGGCGTGAGGCCATGAAGCAGGCCACCTCATCACTTTCCATTGGCAAGATTCCTACCAGTACTTGAAGAGGAAGAGACGAATTGTTCCTCCAAACCTTGTTGAAGATGATGTGGGTAACATCATATATGACCCGCTGTGTGCTATGGACCACATCGCTGGCAAATGGGATAGTGTATTCTCGGTCAATGCGAATCATCAACATGAGATGCAGATTTTGAAGCAGGTTTGGCCCTATATTCACGACAAAGGACAGAAAGTTGCACTACCGCCTGTCACAGAAATTCTACTGTGGGAACAAGCCTCTCGTCGCCGGCCAGATGCTGCAGCTGGTCTTGATGGCTGGGCTACCCGTGAAGTACAGGCGCTCCCTCCATCAGCATTCAAGCCAGTGGCTGAATTATTCAATGACATTGAAGCAGGGACGACTGAGTTCCCTACCATCCTTACCCAAGTCAAGATGATCATTTTTAATAAGGATGGAAGTGACTTGCCGCTTTCTAAGAGGTTGATTTCCCTGCAGTCTATTTTCACCTTGCTCTACACAGGACTTCGTTTTTTCCAATTGCAAACCTGGCAACAAACCGTCATGCCAATGCAATTGAAAGGAGGAGTGAAAGGTCGCCAGATGGCTGAAGTACACTCTACTCTGCAGATGGAAATTGATCATGCACATAGCTTCCACGGCTACTTCGCGGCTGTCAAGCTAGACAAATCGAAGTGTTTCGATAGGTTGATGCCTAAACTATGCGCAGCCATTATGCTGACCTTGGGCCTTCCGGTCGGTTTTGTGCGTGCCTTTGTGGCCCTATACTCCAGAATGACACGCTTCCTGGCTTTTAAACAATGGACCAGAGCACAACCGATCTCGACAGCTAATGGGGTTGTTCAGGGACGCTCTCTCAGCCTTCTTTGCATCAACCTTCATATGGCAATCTGGACATGGATTGTTGGTCAGATCCCTGGTGTGGATTTTCGAGCCTTCATTGACGACACATATCTCTGGACGAGGGATGCCAAGATTGATCATTTGGTTGCTGCTGTCAAGGCTACTGAGTTATGGGATTCCCTTTGTGGTCAGTTCCTCAATGCAGGAAAATGCGAGCTCTTTGCAACAAATGGTGAGCAGCGCAGAGCCCTTCGCCATGCTTTTCCCCAGATGAAACTTGTCGAAGTAGTGAACATCCTGGGAGCCCATGTCCAAACTACTAGAAAAAATGCGGGTCTCTTTCCCATGTCCACGCTGCAAGGAGCACTGCGTGATTGTGAAGCCATACGGTCCCTCCCATGCGACAGCTACACAAGGGCCCAGATACTCGCCACCAAGGTATTACCACAAGTGGCGTTTGCACCGCAATTGAACTTCCTGCCCAAGCGACAACTTGCAAAGCTACAGTGCGCCATCGCAGATGCATTGTGGCAAAATCGGCCAAAATGGCGATCGAAGCATTTGTTGCTTTGTGTTATTCACAAGGTCCACAAATTGGATCCCTTTTTGTGCAGGGCGGTCACCACGATCATTGAATCAGTTCGCTTCCTTCAGTCATCACAACAGGCAAGACACAAATGGCAGCAATTATTTCTGCAGGATCAGTTAACAGCACAATCTTGGCTTACGCAGTTCAGCCAAGCCTGTCAGATCCTTGATATTTCTTGGACTGCCCCCTTTGGTTTTGCGGTATTTGATTCTGACGAGGTGAGCTTCCTTGATTTTTCTATTTCCGACCTGCGATGCCTTCTCAAGAGCTTTGCGGCCAACAAGTGCTATCACACCGCTTGTGCAATGCCGCGCAAAGATGTTCGCACAGCTGTTGGCTTCCTGGACCTCAACATGACATTGTCAGCAAAAAAGAGGCTTGCCAAAGTGCCCAATCTTGGCTTCTCCTTTCTCTTTCATTGGGAGAGTGCCTTGACAGGGTGCACGCCTACAGCAGACAGAACCTTTGCGGCAGGATTGGTTGACAAACCCAATTGCAGGTTTTGTGATGCACCCAAAGAATCCATGCAACACTTTGTTGATGAGTGCTTGCAGTTGCCTACAGAGATTGCCCAGCCCTTTTCTACTACAAACTTCGGTCCCAATTTTGAGATACTCGGTATTGCTGAAGTTCCGCTGGAAAACATTCGAAGCAAGCTGAAAGTCTCTAAAACATCGGACATACAGGTGACGCCTTGGCAGGAACCACTTGCTGGTGTGACACATGTCTGGACAGATGGATCAGTCCAGCTCAACCATTACCCGTGGTTGACTCTGGCAGCCTATTCTGTGATTGCGGAAAATGAAGATATACTGGCAGTTGGTTCAGTGCAACACTGGCGCCTATCAAGCTATAGTGCTGAGTTATGGGCCGTTCTGATCGCTTTTGCCACTTCAGCTCAGCCACTCGTGGTGCATACTGATTCATTAACCATTGTCCAGCAATTTGCTGACCTGTTACAACAGGATTCAGTGCAGGTCTGCTGGACGCATGCCAACTGGTGGGGCTTCTTGTTGAGTCTGATTCAACAACGCCGTGGTTTTGCAGCATCTCCACTCCAACTTCTTTGGTGTCCTGCCCATTTGTTGGAGCATTTACCATGTGAAGCAATTTCAGAGGAAGATGCCACCAAGGCTGGATCTACAAGACTTGATATTCAGCTCAATCGCCTGGCGGATACTCAAGCCAAGCTGCACATCCATCAAATGGCTCAGAACATTAGGGCAGATCTCGCTGTTAAAGAACAAGATGTGTTTGCGAGGCAGCTTTGGTTGTCCAAGATGAATAGGATTTGTAAGAAGCCTGATGATGCTGTGCCGCCCAGCAATACTCCTGCCGGTGAGCCTGTGACAACCTTTTCGCCCCGTGAACTGTGCCCGAAATGGTCATGGGATGCCAACATCAGCCAGTATCCTTGGACGAACGAAGTGGATACTGCAGTGCCGTTTCGAGCGAATAAAACACTCTCTGAACACAACTTTCGCCTCTTTTTGAGATTCTCGAATACGCTGTGTTGGCGGTTAGGTGAAAAGCGGGCTTGTTCAGTCTTCGAGTTAGCTGTACTTGCTTTCATGCAAGGGTGGCGATGCGTCTCCCACCTGATGTTTTGTCAACGCCCCAGGCGTATGCCTGCATCATTCGAGCCTCCATTTCGTACTGCAAGAACAAGAACATCGTCGTGGCTCCACTTTTGCTGGATAAACGAAACAAAAGTAACGGTCGCACCTTCCCAAAAGGAGCCTTCTTAGGTGCAGAAGCATTCCTCGACAATGCTTCACTCGAAATGCTTTGTAGAGCTTTCTTGCGCGGAGCCAAAGAAACTCCGCATTCCTGGTGCATTCCATTTGATGCACTCTTGTAAGCATGTAGAGTTCCAAGACTGCTACTGCGGAAGCTTAGCAGTTGCCGACGACCCCGTGATGCGGCTTGAGAGCCAAAAAAAAAAGAAGCTCCCCCGCCTGAGGGCTGGGGAGGAGCTTCCTAATGATTTGGCGGGGGGAAACTTAACTTATACTGGTCAGGCATTCTTGGAATTGTTCACGCATGGTCATTGTAAATATGCACAATCTAGCTCCACACACGTTGTCATGACTTGAACTCAACTCACCGCGACTATCACCAACTCAAGATCCCTGACCTGCTCCTGTGGAGCACTTTGGCTTCAGGAACAAGGCTCGCTTTGGATTCGCTCGTTCTCACCCTGAAAAAGCTGAAACGTTCCAATAATAATCCCTAGAGCATCTCCGGCCTGTGCATTCTTTGCCCCGGCCGGCCCCTCTTCATGACCACACCCAACCAGCCCAAAGCCTAGCCTCAAGCTGACACCCTCTAGAAGCTCCAGCGCCTTCTCTCCGGAGGCCACCTAGCAACACGCGGCGGGCAGCATGATGCGCTGGGGGGATTTGTCAGGCCTCTTCTGTGCACGACAAGGCAGGCCTTGCAACCAAGGTCATGCTTCAGCAGTTACTGTTCCTTAATGTCCTGCTTGTTCTCTTCTATCTTTCGTTGAAATCATGGCCACCCAACCATCCACCAAAACCAAAACCAAAAACAAACAAGCACTCTCCGAGCAACACCTCCTTCTGCGCCCCGTAGCGCCGCCTGATCCACCTCCGTTAGACGGAAGAGCCTCACGTCCCCCGAGACCTGCAGCCGTGGCAGGCGAGCCACATGCGGGCAAACCGACCTTAAAAACGGGTGATGAATGGGTCGACGGTAAATCTCTCTTTGAGAAAAGGCTGAGATGACCTGCACACGAAATGGAGGCTTCGAACCCAATGGGCTTGACTAAATGCATGCGTTCATCTGCTAGCCCTCGGCGGGCAAAGCATTCATGCACGGATTACCCTAAACAGAGATGCAATCAAGGGCATTCACTATTGACTACACAGTGAGCAAAAGGCACGTGGCCAATGCGGGCCACATATAAGGGGGGCACTTGTAGCATTCGCCCTACTCCTTCGGCCCAAAAGGCCGTGTCCAGAGCCCCTCATGCGGCCTCCACGCTCATGGAGTAGTCCGGCAAAACGGCCAAACGGATAGGGACCTGGTCCCCACTATGTACAAATGCTTTGGCATCAATGCCACGAGCCAGGTGCAGAAGTCCTCGGGTCGAAGCTCCGAAAAGAGCCGAGCCCAATGGGTGAGGCTTGAAGAACCACCCAGTCGTTAAACAAGGCTTTTCAGTTGTCCGACCGGGTTGGTGACACGGATTCTGGACATATATACAGCATCACGCGGCCAAGCTTCGCCGCCCACCCTGGCCCTACGACCACATATGGTGCCATGGAGGGGTGGGGCAACGCGGAGTTGTTCAAAGAATGGGAGAACGCAATCTTGCTGAATCCCCCAAAACCCCTTGAAAACTGGAATCCAAATCTCAACAATTGAACGCGTCTTGATAATGGAAGCCTGATATGATCTGATACGTATACAATCTCTTCTTCCATGGTGGTTTCCTGCAAAGGGTCTGTCTGTCGATGTCCCTGCCTTTCTGTTTCTCATCAGAGTGCCTCCCATGTTTTTACGTTCAACACCTTTTCAGGACCCCCACCCAACAATGAAGGATCCTGGAAAGGAATCCCGAGTGCGCCCGGCATGCATTTTTTGCTCATCCGCCGCTGAGACGAACACAGCCGAACTGGGCCCCAAACATCTCTTTACGTCTCAAGGGGCAACACAAAGGGACCCACCCACGTTGGTTCCAGGCACTACAACTCGCTCAAAGGCTGCAAGAACAACATCACAGGCTGAGGCAAGCAGAGTCTTGGAGGATGCAGAAATGACATGATATTCCCAAAATAAGATCTATAGAACATTATAGATATAGAATGTGTATATTATATATATATTGTTCTGTCATCAGAATGAGCATAAGCAAATATAACCTTCAGGGATTCCCAGAGTCTCCCATCGGAGTCCTTGTTGAACCTCCAGCTGGCCCAGCTGATTGGCGTTCGGCGGCGGTGGCGGTGGTGGGTTGAGCACCTGGAGCTTCGCATGTGGCAAAATTGATGCAGAAAGGCCTTGCCAAGAAACAGCATAGAGATTATGATGACTATGAAGAAGTGCTTGGGACAAATAATGCACGAGCAAACACACATGAAGACGGATAAGAATCTAGCCAACAGTTGAGACAAAATAGAAAAGCCGTCTTCAAAAATGACAAGGGAAAATACCGCGGGCATCAAATGGTGTAGCAAGGCAGAAGGTTCAACGCTGTTGGCTTTGCAGGACGTTTGGGCAGAGAATAGCTACTGGGAGACGCACAAAACCAGCAAGAGGGGCGACAAGAAAGGTGACGCTGAAGAGCAAGGGGCCTGGCATCGGCACAAGATTAAAAGATCAGACCGTGGAAACACCTTCCGGGAACAATAACCTGACACACCCCAACCACAACATAGACTAGAGACAGCACTCGCACCTGAAATCTCTGTAAGAACTGCATGTATAATGCAGTTTAAACTGGCGGTGTGGTGTGGCCAAACGAGAGTCAAGCAAGCCTTGAAATTAAATCTTGGACGATGTCCCAGCAAGACGGTCAGAAGGCTGCAGGCATCCGCCAACGGAAAGTAGGAGAATCAAGATTGCGAACTTCTGTCGTGTGTCTAGAGGAGTGTCTGTTTTACCCCGGTTTCACTCGGCATTTGGTAGGCAGGCACAGGCGTACCACGTCGAAGATCGGCAGACAAGCTTCAGCTGCTGCTTCACGTCACCCAGCACGCCGTTCATATCGCGTCACCCGGCCGTGCACTGCACCACAGTCGGACGGCGAGACTGTGAGACCTTGAGACTCGGAAACATCTGATTGCGAGACCTTGGCCATTCCTTTTTCTGTCCTTCTCGCCTCTGCGGTTGATGTTGTGCGTTTGAAACGGGGATCATGGCCCTAGGGCACTAGAGTAAGCAGAAACGTGTCCGACCTAAACAATCAGCTTAGCTCTCACATGCTGCGCAGTGCATGCAAGAGACAGCACACAGAGTAGATCAAAGAGCGGGTTGATGGACCAACTCCTGCACCGTTTTGGTGGGCACGGTCTTTTCCCTCCCCCCTCATTCTCCCTCTTCGGTTGTGTCTGTGTGAGACCGGGCCAGCAAGAAACCCGACACCATCTCCTTCGAGCCGTCCCACGAACATGAGGGGGCCAAAGGGGTTCCCTTGCTACATGACCCTTTCTCTCGCTGTTCTCTTCCTTGAAGTGGTGCAGCCTTCCTCCACATAAACACCTTCGACTCTTGGAGTCGGGCGATCGATGTCGATCGCCAAATCCATTCCGCCACCAAAACCGCCTCCAAATCCAGGCCTTGTTCAAAAATAGTAATATAATTGTTCACTGACTGTTACAGGTAATAGGACAGACCCAAACCAAATCAATAGTAAGTACCAACCCGGTACCCCGCCCATCGGACCTTCCACGACCGAGCTCCCGGCCTCAGAGAGATCCCGCTTCAAGAGGCGCTTGGCGGCGGCCAGTGCGGCGGTCACGTCCTTGGGCGGAGCCGAGAGGTCCAGTAGAGCGAAAACGCCCAAAAGAGCCCTCTTGTCTGGGAAAAGATCAGATACCAAAAAGGGAAAAATGGGCCTTGTGTGGGGAAGTCTGACTTCAAACATGGGTCCTGGGGAGCTTGGAGGAGGTGCAGCAATGGAAGTTTGCGGTATTTGTCCACCTCCTTGCCCTGACCACAGCGATGCAAGTCATGGTGCGGGTGCTAAGCCCTAGGCCCTGTGCTAGGCAGCCTCAAGACTCACCAAAAGGTTCTGGTGACAGCCGCTGAACGGGACACACACCACCCTCCGGCCACTCCCACGGCGGTGCGTGCGTCGGACTCCAGGAGCGCTTTCTCCGACATCTCAGGCCTCAGATGTGCTCCAGCATTCCCCAAAAAAAAGCGCAGGTAGGTGTGTTTTTGTGGGTTTGATGAATGAACTTGACTGATCATGACTAAGTCTTGACTGCCAAAAGTACCCCCCCCACTTGGGGGGGCGGCTGAGTCTATGAAACCTATATACTATATATATAATTACTAATTACATATACCCGACTGATCTTCGGATTCCTCCTCTCCGTCCACTGCATCGGGGCCAGCCTGGACCGCCTCCGGGATGGGCGTTCCTGAGGGCGTTCCCGGGACCCTTCGAAGGCCCATGGAATGGTGGGTCCCTTTGTTCCTAGTAGCGAACCTTGCTCCGTTCGTCGTAAGGCCAGGAGCCCCGTTCGTCGCGTCCGATCGCTCTGTTCGTAGCGATGCCCTTGGTTCCTAGTAGCTTCTCAGCCACCCGGACCAACCTTCGAAACCTTTCAGAAGTTCAAAGACGCAGACAGAAGGTCACTGGTCACTTGGGTGGATCTGAGAACTCCTGGCGCGCGCGTTTTCTCCGCGTCTTATTTGAATCCAACCATGTGTCAGACTCTGTAGATGTGCAAAGGGTTCGCGAAACGCACCGTGAAGGCTGGTCTGGCTTCCGAACTGGTGCCCCTTATTTTGCTCATGGTGATTTAGGATCAAACGTGGCTGGTCGCTCCAGGCTCACCGTTCTTGATTTGGCAAGGCGGTGGTGAGCGAACTGAGGGTGAACATGCGATAACATGTGAAGACTCGATTGCCCATGCCTTCTTGCATTTGCGAGACATACAATGGCGAAACGGACATGTGTTGCCCCTACGGACATGGCTATTGCCTATGCATGGCTCAATACTTGGACTTGGTCGAGTCAAGCCGTAGCCGTATACCTATCCACGACGGCGTATGGCGTCTTCACTCAGGCCAAGCGGAGCACAGCTTGTTCCAGATTCTGAAACAGCCCCTACCCTCTGAAATCCACAAAACCTGATGGGACTCGTCCTTTTCCAGAGGTCAGACCCTCATCCCACCCACTGGGCGAACCCGGCCGAGCGGTGCGAGGACAACGGGATGGAGGGCGTACCTCGGATGCCGAGTCGCAGGGCCTGGGCAGGGTGGCAGCATGTTCCTTCATGTGCAAAACTGGCACCGGCGTGTTCCATGATGAGGCTTTTCACCAAAAACGAAACAGACTCAGTCATGACCGGTCTTTCTGATGGTTGGTTGAGAGAACTGGGCATTGGAGCTGGAGGCTTTAGCTGTTGTAGCTCTTCAGGAGCCAGCGACCTCTGAAAAGCTACCGGAAGACTTTTCGTTGACATCTCTCTCATGTTGTAAGCTTGTCATGATCGGATGCCAGTAGATAATTCGATTGTCCGCATCAGGTCCGTCGATACATCGATCGCCGCAGAAGGAGGCAGATCTCTCGCGGACCGTCCCTCACGTCGGCCTCCCACGGGGGGAAACGACCCCAACGACTTCTTCCACGGCACTGTCTTCCTGGCTTCGGGCCGCGAAGCTCGGGGGGGTGAACGAGGAGGGGCCCCCGTTTTTCCCACACACTGCCCGGCATCTGTGCGGATGCCGGGCAGACCGCTGGAGAATGTGCCTAGTGCTTCTCTTCCACCGAAGCACAACGGTGGGTCAAAACCTTGAGCCCAAGAGTATGAGAGGTAAGGTGAACATCTGGAAGACCGAAAGTGCTTCTGTTGGTATTTCTATCTTCGTTAATCAGTTTTGAGACGCCACCGGGCGTTGGTGTTCTGTTTTTTTGGTGTGTGTCGAAACCTCACCGGAAAAACCGCCTTGCCAAAATAGACATACGTAAACGACTAGAAAGAAACACAATGCCGTCGTTAGAACCACCTGAAACGACTACCAAAAACACACCGCAAACAATCACCAGGAACGACGCAAACGCTCAACTTTTTGGCACCACTTCGGTGTCTTCATGAGACTCTTTGGAATTTCTGGAGTGCCCTTTGTGACAGCCCATGGGTGTCAGATTTAGGTGTTTGATGGCCAATCAATACATCTAAAGCGACTAGTCACTAGATTTTGGTTGGTGTTCCAGGCACCAGGTACTGGCATGTACATGATGGCTTCGAGGCAGCACCCGAGTCGACAAATCCAGGAAAGACATGCTGTCCACCGTCCCTGCATCGGACCCTGGCCTTCCCATCCTCATCCAGGCAAGCCAAGTCCGCCAGCCGCACGCGAAGCGCGGCCCGGCCGGCGCTGCAGTGGAACCGTTTCTGAGAGCCTGGTCCCGGAATTCGCACCACTGGGTTCCCGAAGGCCCCGGACCCAAACCTTCGTCCCCCTCCACAACGGGGAAAAAGGACCACACTCGCCTGCGCGAGCGAGGCCAGCTCCGCCCGCAGCAAGGCCGCCAGCGAGGAGAAGTCCAAGGCCTGGCGTTTTTCACGGCCTGGTCAAAGGGCCCAGCAGGTCGAGGAACCCCAACACGGGCGGCTTTTTTACACCTGTTGTTTGTTGTTTTGGTAACACCGGCCCCGGTTGGCCCCAGTAGCGCTGAAAGCTCAGTTGGAGGACGTGACATCTCACGCTTCCCAAAAAGGTCCAGCTTGGAGGCTGCCTGCATTCGAAAAAGCATACACAAGGCCCTTTCTCCACAGGGTTCTGACATGAAACGTGCCCACGACGCACTTCTGCAGGAGCACACATCGGTTCTCAACATCCGGGGCCCGGAGAAAGCCACACCAAGCCCCTCCGCTTCTGGGCGCCGCACCTCGGCCACCATCACTTCCAGCGCCAGCTGCCTCAAGCGCTTCTCCCCTCGTGCGGCTGCGGCCAGTGGCAATGGAGTGTTGGTGGGTGGTGCAGGGGTCGAGGATGTGGCACGCCAGGCTGCAGCCAAGTAGACCTGCAGGGCGAGGGCCCTGAAGATGAGGGGTTCAAGCGGTCAAAGGGCGACCAGGTACATTCATGGGTTGGGAAAGGGGTCCCATGTTGCCCTCTCTGCCAAAGGGGGTCACTCGGTTTCTCATCGAGGCTGAAGCAAGAAGAAAAAGCCAGCCAGCAGTAGATGGGCTGGAGTAGAGCCCGCACAATCAAGAAACATGATGGGTACCTCTACCCATGGATTCTCACACAGCGACTGATTGGCTGACGCCTCTGTTGAGTCTTGTGGTCATGGTGGTTAATAAAAAATAACGCAGACCCAGGAGCGATATGGTCTCACCCTTCACCGGTAAATGCTTGACACTACACAACCATGAGTTGTACGCCACTGGGTCGATTTGTGAGGACGCCACTGTCTTCAGATCCAGACGGCATCGCCACCACCGCTCAACCGATTTCGCCATGCGCCTGCATGCCCACGACGGCATCCATTTCTGGAGTCCTGAAGAAGCGTGCCGCAACATCCAGTGAAGGCGCGCCCATGCAACGCACACAAACCGAAAAGCCTACTAGGCACGAACCAGAAAGCATCAGAATGCCAAGTAAATGGACGGAGGTTGGAAACCAGCACTTCCTCCACTGGATGGGTGTTTCTCAGGCTGGCTTTCTCTGGGCGTCCTGGTTCGATTCTTTCAACATGGCTTCTTCTACATGTTTCCTCTCCTCGAGGGATATCTGACCCCCGTGGGAGGTCAAATACATCGCTCTGTCACTCCAAACATGTATGTCGTCATTTCGCCGTGTCGTCTTTACCACACCTTCAAGCCACCTCCCGCACACCAAAAGACCGCCGTCGCCAGCACTCAGCTGTGCGGTTGCCAGCTCTCCTGCACACCACGGCCGCCCGCAACTGACTGGCCGTGGCTGCCAGCGTGGGATGGTGGCAGAGCTGCGCAGCGGCTGTGGCCGCCGAAGTGAAGCGATAGACCCACACCTCGACCGGGGCCAAGCCGTCGAAAAAGAGTGTTATTCCACACGTCGACAAAGTTTATTTTTTGAATGAAACATTTTCACCCAGTATATAGCTGGGACAGGCGAGGTAGATGTTTTTGGCTCATGCTCCCGAAGATTTTGTTTTTTACACAAGGTGAATTAGATTTCGTCCAGGTACTTTTACTCTTGATGGGTGATTTGTGACTTGGGTCCCCGGCACAAACTTTAGTTTTGCCCATGTCCCATGCCCGTTTGGATGGAAAAACAATACAGAAACCATGTTTGCTAGTTCCATGTGGATAGACCCTCAGACTTTCTCAAATGGTTTCAGTTGGCTGAAGAGAAACACCCATCGAACCCCGCCAATCAGAACTTCTTCCGAGACACCCAGGCCGAAGTGGAAGACCGGCTCGGGGCCTGCGCTGCAGTGCCAACGACTTTAGGGCATATGCGGCAAATACCGCAGATATGATCCCTCTACACATGGCATATCTTCGGACAGGTTCACACCGCCTTGAGCTCACACCCTGAAGCTTTGCGAGTGGCCCAGTTTGGTGGAAATATGGATAGACATATATATATATATACAGTATGTATATACTGTCATTGCATGATATGTGAAACGTGTCCTCCAACTTCAATGCCATGTGTTCATTCCAATCTTCACAAGTGTCACAACAGAAATTTACGGTGGATGTTGCGTTGACGCAGCGGCCTTGGTTGTCATTGTTTGTGGCGACCCACCGACCTCGAGCCCAACCCGGACGGCACCAGAACGCCCGCAGCGTGCGGCACGCGGAGGCTCGACGCGTGCCTCACCGGTCAGCAATGCCAAGGACTCGCCCGAGACGGTGCCACTGCACTCCAAGGCCCCACCTTCTGGTGCGACCTGAGACGAGATCTGACGTTTCTCTTGGGATTTGCGGGGGGGGGCCCTCATGAAGACATAGATCACCAAGTAAAGAGATTCACCTTTTTTGATCTCCTTTGTTTGGGGGGAGCCATTCTACTCTGCAAAGGTTTGTGGCTTGGATTGCTGTCATGTTCCTTAACAGCATGAGGGCCTCTCTGAGATTTCGAGGGGTTCACCTCCATCATCTACATAAACCGCGAGAGCACAATACCTTTTCTCCTAGAAGCGGTATGCGAAGACCAACTGCCCGCACTTGACCCTGAAGGATCCGTAGGGGCGCTCAGCCGCCATCCCTAAGGGTGCCGTAGGGTGGCAGAGGGTGGGGCATCCAAAACACAAGGTCAGAAAATGTGTTAAAACCTGCAACAGCCACATCCGCGCAAACAGGCTGCAGCAAATAGACCTACCTACCAACCAAGCGCGCACCATGCCGTCCCCCGGGCCGATTCCCCCAAAGCTCCATGCCCAGCCTCAAAGCGATACCTCTCACCGGCCTCTAGGTCCCGAGCACCATCCGCCGAAGCCCAGCGCCTCTCGAAGTGGCGCGCTCGGGTCGTTCGTTGATCTCAGAGATCGACGAGGCTGTCTGTGGTGAGTGGCTGGTGACTAGTGAAGCCTGCGATCACCAGATGTTCCGATGTTCCTCAGTCTCTCCCTCTCTCCCTCTCCTCATCAGACCGTGACCGCGATCTGCTCCAGCTTACCTAAATGGTCTGCCTAAAATCACCAACCTGGGGCACAGCCGTGACCAGGAGTGCTGCCAACCAAATCCTTTCCAACCAAATGACGGGGCCTATCTGTCGAAACCTCCTAGTGGCGAACAAAGTGAACTTGGACTTGTACAGTATCTAGTATTTCCTCGACCCACTGCCCACCAACCTTCACCAACAATAACTCCCTAATGGTTCCCAGTTCCCTCAAACACTTGAATCACCTGCGTCCGATTCCAGGCTTGGGAAGCAGTGGGCTGCAAGAAATGGAGCTCTGAGGCTTGCGGCTCTATACCAGCCTCACCTTCAGTAGCCAGTGCCAACTCCAAAAAGGTGGCAGCGAACTTGCCAGTTACAGTCATTAGGATCGTTTACATGGAGCCACTTTTCTCCAAAAGAATGTGATATCAAACATTGGATGGACCACCCAAAACCACGGTGAAACCCCAACCCACCCAACAAATCCACACGAATCCACACGAATCACGCACCCGCCTCAGGCGCGTGTGCAGCTCGGGGTCCCAAATGGGCAAGGCATCCAGTTGAGACCGCAGCAGCGCCACGTCTGCCTCAAGGAGAGCCTCCATCTGCGACCAAGGCACCTAGCACCAAAGGCGAGCACCAAAGGCCCCCTTGGTGGTGTTTGTGGACCTCCAACCCACGCGTCCCAAGGAGGGGTACAGCCGTGTTGGATTCAAGAGCACCACCCAGATCTGCATTCTTCATGGGTTCCTGTGGCTATGGTGCAGAAGGGGTTCCGGCCTTACACCGGAAACATCCAACAGTCGAAACACTCAGGTCTTTTCCTCCTCGGCTAAGAAAAGCAGGAACCATCATACAGACTTCATCCAGGTTTGGCCTGAACTGTTCTCCACACTCTCTCACACCACGGCCGTGGACCACGCCTCCACCACGCCTCGATCTCCATAGCCCAGGCTGCCTCGGTCCTCGGTCCGCGCAGCCTGGGCGACCTGGAGCGTCCACACCGGTGGGCGTTCAAATCCAAATGCGTATCAAACATGTATAATCTCATCATAACTCGATCATATTCTATAATGAACACATAGAACGACGCAAAAAAATGGCTCCGAACACACACGTCGACAGAAAGAAGCGGGAGGAAAACAACTGCTCTATATAGTTGTGGCCACTTCCTCTTTGTCCCAAACCTTTGAATGCCCTCCCGTTTTAGGACATGCCCTTCAAAGATCTTAGAACGGTCTTCTCAAGGTGGATCCGCTGGCCGATGGTGTGCACTTCGCATGCTCTGTCTTATGTATAGTGCTTGTCATCCCTCAATTATCAGTATTTGTGAACCTGTCAGTCAGATCACAATTTCCATTGCCCCAGTAGTTTGTGCCATCTACATTGAACCGTCATTAGCTGGTGTCATTTTGTGCGTTCTTTTAGCCTTGGACTCATAAGGGGGGGCCGAGAGTCGGCCTCTTTCTTCCGTTTTGAACTATATACAATGCAGGGGCGATGTCACCAAGCTTGACCAAGCTTCAGCTGGGATGATCTCGTGAGACGTGGGACGTGCTTCAGTCCGCAGTCATGCACTACCTGTTTTACCTATATAGGCATCCTTCATTGCCTAGCTTTCTTCGTGGCTTGGGGCATTCAGATCGTTCGCATCATATAGTGTGCGCGTGGGATAAGCGGTTCATCGCTATCGGGGCCGCAAGAAAGAAACAAACAAAACTGTGTATAGATGTAGTTCAGGTGCTGGGCGAGAAAAAAGCTAAACCCACCCAACAACCCTAGCGTATGCCACGGCTTGTCACAAAGCCCGGAGCTGTGGTGTACATTAAAACGGAGACACGAAAGATTGACCGAAACCACTGGCCTACTCTACGCATAGCTATGGATGCGACCTCTGTTTTGACAGGATAATGAAGACATATGAAGACCATATTTGGGGTCATTTGTGGCCCACAATAGAGATCACTCAGGCTCTAGGTAGCTAGATCTGCCTCAGCCCCGGCCCTGCGGTGGCCTGGCGCCGGCGCGCCACGTTCGCATCTGAGAGCCCCAGGTGGAAGGTCCGCAGCAGCCCATCTTCCATGCCTCGGCGATGGGCTGAGCACACATGGCTCGGCTCGACCGTTGATTCAAAGCCCTACCAGACTAGGCCCCTTTCGACCTACCCCCGCGCCACATACAGTTCCGCTAACGAACAGATTCTCACCCAACTCACGTTTCTGCTTTGAAAAGGCAAGGGAGGTAAGGCACAAAACTTCCCACCAACTGTGTGTCCTTGCATGCAGCTCCACAATTTCAGCAAAATGCAATTAGGGCATGCTCCATCAAACTGCATCATATACACCATCAAGGCACAAGTATGGTCCCCAAACCTTGGGAACAGGAGCGCCTGAGTCGCAGAATCGCCGGAATCGCGCCAACACGCACCGGGTGGCCCTGACCTCACTCCTCCACCGTGGCATGGAGCAAGCGGTTCGCTTCCGGCGCGCTCGCGCAATCGCCCGACTGGTCCCGGCACAACGAATCTTCTGGCAGTTCACCACCTATGACTGGCGACATGGCCTGGAAAAAGAACGTGATGTACCTCAAGCTCACTTCTTAGTGGTTTCTCATGCTCAGCTTGTGGCTTTTGTGCAGCGAAGGTCTCTCGCTTCAAAGGTGACAGAGTTGCAGGGTTGCAGATGACATCAGATGACTGTGATCAACAAAAACTGCAAGGGCACAATTCAAGGGAGAAGAATCTGGTGCCAAACAATTTAACCCCTGCTTCTGCGCACCGGGCTGAAACCGTGACTTAGTGCTTCTTGGTGCTCTGTCTTTGTCCAGACATCGAGCCAAAACGCCAAACTGCCGGACGGTCCAATCAGATCTTCTCAAGTCAAGCAAACTGTGAGAAGAAAGAAACTGTGTTTTCCCTCCAGGTCTTCCACACGTGAGAAACCAACTCATAGTCGCATCTTTTTGGTCGGACCACAGCTCTGAGAGATGCAAAGAGGTCCAATTCTAGTGAGCCTTTGGGTGATCGAGATTTCACAAACATCTTCAGACTCCGACTTCGGTGTGGGGTCAAGGAATCCACTGCGTACTGGACGGTTGACATGACCAATGGTCCTCCTCCGTCTGGTCGTGCTGTCCTGTGGTCGTCCATGACCAATTGCATCTCCAGACATCTCCGACATCTTGTCCGCGCATCCGCCCTCCGCCCCCCCCTCCCTTCCCGTCCAGGTGGCACCTAGCACGCAGAGCGCGCAGATGGGAAGCACCGCGCACGCCATTGGTCACGGTCACAGAAGCGGGTCACATCTCATCACTGCTTCTCCGTATGAGCTGATGGGCTCAACTGATTGGTCGGTGCTGATTCTAGCATGGTGGGGAGTGGGGAAACACCTTGATGTGCACTTGGAAGTCACAACTTCCCAAAACGGGCTCCTCTTTGCGCTGCACTGCTTGTGCTTCTTTGCGCTGCTTGCACTGGCCCCAGGACAGGGCTCGGGCCCGCCACGTGCAATGCAAGCCCCACTGTTTTGACAGGGGCAGAGACGCAGGTGAACCCATTGGTCAAAACCTAAAATGTTGACCCTTGATTCATAAGACCACCCCATTTGGATTATATACTGTATGGATCTGTATGGGGGGGCTATCGTTATGTTCATCCTGAAGAGTCTGCATTAGAGCCTCAGGAGCTCCAAGCTGACTTGCACTACCAGCTTGAGGCCAAACAAAGCTCGTGGTGCCGCGGCTCGTCCACCGTTGAGGGCTGACCTCGACTCTATCTGGACGGTGTTTCTCGCACCGGGAGGGGATGGTTTCTCAGATAGACTCCGATATCTGATAGACTCCGTGTGAAAGGGATGACCAGTCCTATGAGGGTCGAACCCAACCTGCCCGTGGCGCCCTACGTCAGACCCTGACACTCCAACCTGCCCATCGTCTGCATGACCTGCGAGTTCGTCTCTCCCCACGACCCATTGTGTGCGCCGCTGTGCGCCGACTCCCTTCCCCAAACACCCGAGGCCAAGTCAACTGGGCCATGGCCGAATTCCACGCCAAGACCTCTCCTTGGTGGGTCGGATTCGCCAAACCCCCACAACTCAGGCGGGCAGCTGGTCATCCAAGAGATGGCTCTTCCGCACCGACCGGGGGTGGTTCAGCCCTTTTGACCAACATCCTCCAACAGGTCACCGATTGAGACCTATTAGGGTTGTTAGGGCCAACATTCCGTGTGTCCATCAGTTTCCACCCTCCACCCTCAGGTTGACATAATTTTCCTAGGGGCAGCTGCTGGTTCGGTTGCCAGCCAGACAAAACCTCCAATCCAATCTCTTTTTCCCCAACAGGGCCAGGAGAGCAGCAGAAGAGGCGTATCAAGGAATATTTGTTCTTTTTCGTTTTTTATTTTTATTTTGATCATCGTTTTACTTTTTTAATGTTCGTTGTATTGTTTTTGATACCTATGCCATTTGTGCACAAAGGTGGGAGATTGGCAACGCCCAGTGTCAACCGGGTCGTGTCTGAACTTGGGTCAACCAGGGTGGGCGGGTGTTCAGATGTAGGGTGGTTACCTCACTTGAGCCAAAATGGGCGTGAGGTACCCATGAACACTCACCCTCAAGTGCCAACTACCATGTTACCTACACAGTGACCTGTTCCGTCCAACAATCCTCGAACAAGGAGACCTAGGATGCGAGGTGTAACGAGTCACGCCACACAGCCACACACCAAAAAAAATCACCGACAAGACAAGACCACCGACCCACTCATTGTCACCATGGTCTTAGTCTTAGACCCCGAAAACATCCGAAAACCGGCACCCCCTGGCGACTCACTGAGGTTTGCCGCGCCTCGGGCATTGAGGCCAAAGCTAGGGATCGAAGACCTTGGCGGTGAGATTAGATGAAGTGTCAGAACTGGATGACGACTTTTCTGGACATGTTTCTTTCCACCACATGTTAGTTGATCTTTTCTCCGTTAGACCTGAAAGATGCTGTGACTCTGCAATCTATAGTGCACGCACACTTACCACATCTTACCACTCTAAATACGCACCTGGCAGCTGGTAAGCTGGTTCCAAGGAAGACTCAAACCGACCTCGAAACCCCGGCGACCGGCGGATCAGGTCCTGACTTCTCGAGCCAGCGGACTTGCTCCACCTCGGCTGCAGAGTTCGGGAACGCCGAAACCGCTGAGGTTCTAGTAGCTTCTTGTTACTACCAGTAAGGCACTTGTTACTAGAAGCGATGCACTTGTTCCTAGTAGCTTC